AAACCCCCAAATCTCCACAAAGTCTTATACCTCTTTACATTCTCAAGGGTTGGATGAGCTTGCCATATCAATCACAGCTACTGGGGCAAGATGCCGCTTACCCCACCAAATGACTCTTAAAACCTTAGAGCAGTGCCTGGGCCTTTAATTTTCTGTGGGTTCACTGCTTATCTTCTCCCCCAAATGTTCCAGCAAAGCCTGCAGAGTGTCCTGCCGCAGAAACAAGTCTTCACATGCTAACATTCTATTTTCAGTGTAATGGGCCCATTTTACTGATGTGGGGAAAGAGGACAGGGACAGGTCTTGGACTACCATGCCATGCTGTATGGTGGGGCCGTGAAGGTCACCTCGGGGAAGCACTTGAAAGGTCCATTGCTGCCCCTCCCACGTGGAGGCCAATTTGATCCTGTGACCCAGTGGCCAGGGGTCTATTGAGAAAAACATTTGCTACATCCAGCACAGCATAGTAAACGCCTAAGACCATGACCAAGATATCTAAGATGGTGGCAATGTGGGGCACAGCTGCATATTGAATAGGGAGGCACTACCTCATGTGATTTTTGGTAGGTCCACCATCATCTGCCACAAGCTATCTGGCATTTTTACCCTCCAGAGCAGGCTGTTGAGAATACTGTGGGCACAGCATACAATACCCAGTCAGGGCAGTTCTTGGATAGTTTCTCCTATCTCCTTCTGCACCCCCAGGCAATTCATACTGTTTGACAGCTACCCCTTTTCAGGGTGAGTAAAGCTGGAGTGTACAGTAGCTCACTGCAGGCTTATGCGTTCCCAGTTGGCATTTTCCCTCAGCACTGCTTTGATTACTGTAAGCTGGAGCAGAATTCACCAATAGAGTTTTGCAGAGTTTGACCTTGTAGGATATCAGTGTCCACCATGTTTTCTGGTATTGGAGAGGAAAAAAAAAACTCACATTTTTGGGTCATCAGTGTCCCCCATGTTTTCTGGTATTGGAGAGAAAAAAAAACTCACCCAATTTGCAGGGTCAGAAGGACCACCCTGATCTTAATTGTTTGCCTTCCATAATCATAGATGACACTGAGGGTCCAGGAAACTTCTGAAGTTTACCACGTGGTAGAGTACCTTCAACTCCAATATCCACCAGAGCCGCCACTTTTGTTTATTCCTGGGGGACAGGTGAGTCGAGAACTCAACGGGAGTCCTCTGATCACCTGCAGTGGTCCTCACCCGGAAGCACTCTTGGACTGCATCCAACAATACCCTGGGCGTAGGAGGCACCCACCCTGAATAAGACTGTACCCCTGAGGCCTCTGCTTGTAGGGGAAGATGGGGCAGGTCCAAATTGTTGTTCAAGTTTCATGACTTCTCCATAGTTTTCCACAGGTTAATGGTCTATCTGTTCAGGTTTGGTCCCTGCAGCAATGAAGCCAAACCACATTTGCATCTGGGCTAAGTTTACTCTACCCTTTATAGCTGACTGGGATAGCCTTTTGACTTTCTGAGCTCCCTCTCTGTCTCGGGTCTATCCCACAGCCCATACCAGATCCCAGGATCTGTCAGTTTCCCCCAGATCAGCAATGGATTTCCCAACACCATAATATCTTGCCCCACAACTGGGTTTAGCATGGATCAGCGTCCCGTACCAGATGCTGGGGACAGGCTAGAGTATCTTGACTTTCATTCCTGCAGTGAATGTGGCCCGATCAGGCCCTGCGAAGACGGGGGTGTAGATGGCCTATGTCATTCCCAACTCCCTAAGAATTTGTTGTACCTCCTCTATAGATTTCCAGGGTCCCATTTTCCCAGGGAGGTCACCTTCCTTGGGCAAGCCTCCCTGCAGGCTAGAACAGTCCAATCTGTAAGGGAATGCGTACCTCGAACCAGCCCTCCCCACCAAGCACCATGCCGGCACTGCTGGAAGGCAGGGTTTGTGGAGATGTTGCTCATATTTTCTGCCACCTGACCAGGCAGAGGAATGCCATGTCCCCCTGTATCCCATAGCTGCACTAACCATGCTTGGGTACTTTTCTTGGCCTTTTGCTGGAACTTGGCAGCTGTATCAATAAGCTCAATGGGAGTATACTCTCTCATCATGAACGTTTCCTGAACTGGGGCTGCCCACTGGCTGGGGTTGTGATTGCTGTGCTTTTGCATTCCTTTGTACTAGGATGGCAGGGTGTTTTGTCCATTTCACACTCAATCCCCATAACACCCCTCCTTCCCTCTCATCACTTTGCCGGGCATTCTCTTTCCCACAGTGCATTAGGCACAGTTTCTCAAAGAAGTGCATTAAACGGGCCAGAGTTTCTGGGGTGCCCCTGTATGCACATGGTAGTTCACAAGCCTCTGACATACAGGCCAACCCTCCCCACGTAGAGGTTGGTGGTCAACACAGGATTTTTCCTTCAGATGCCTTTCCCAAGGCCGGTTTCTTTGGTCTCCTGGCAGGCTCGCCAGTTATTGGTTTGCAACCTTCTTGGAAGTTTCCCTGGTGAAATCTGAAACTGGCCCCCTTTCTTGGAGGGCAGAGCGAGACCCAAGAAAGAGGTAGGCCGCTCCAGGATGGTAGGTGGCAGGTTTAATAAGCAAGGGGATTTACACATGAGGCTTGTCTCGGGAAGCCGCAAGAGGTGTAGATCATCACACCCACCCACAAAATATAAAGGTTTATCTAGAGGCCTTCACTGGGTTAGGCACGAACACCATCCAGAGGGGCTCAACACCACATCATCTCCAGGCTATGTTCTTGAGCAACTTCTGGGAGGTAGGAAGGGAGAGGGCTGCAGGTTCCAAGGACAGGGGAGGGAGTGCAGTCTTTGCCTGGGTGCAGCTCATAGGTGGTCGCATCCTCTTGATAACCTCCCTCCCTTAACAGTTGTACACTACCGACTGGCAAATGCACAATGTTTGTTTTACTACTAGAGTGTGGGATCCCCAGTATTGAACACTGAAGTCAACATAATCACATGCTGATCAAATCACTTCAAGTGAGTCCAAGGATGGAGTACGGAGAGGCCCTGACCAGCAATTGCTCTCAGGCAAACTTGCACCATTTCCTGGCCCCTGTAGTGAACTTTTGGTGTCATAAAATCTTCCTTTACTACCAGGCCCTCTCAGTTTTGTGAAACTATACCTTTATAAGAATCACCTATAGGGGTGCCTGGGTGGCTCAGTCAGTTAAGCATCTGCCTTTGTCTCAGGTCATGATCTCAGGGTCCTGGGATCAAGTCCAGCATCATGCTGCCTGCTCAGCGGGGAGTCTGCTTCTTCTTCTCCCTCTGTGTGCGTGCTCTCCCTCTCCCTCTCTCTTTCTCTCTCAAATAAATAAATAAAATCTTTAAAAGAAAAAAAAAGAATCACATATAAAAGCGCTACAATCAGCTACTCTGGTTGATTGACCTTTTGGATTAATGCAAGCATTCTTCTTTAGCACGCAAATCCTGTTTTAGAGAGCACTCTGAGTACACCTTTTATGATGCAAATATAACCAAATCATTTGCCTACTCTAAATATTCAGTGGCTTCCCACTAGCCACAAAATTAAGTCCAAACCCTGACCCTGAAAAGTCCTGCCTCTGCCTTTGTGCTAACCTTATCTGCCAACATTGCCTCACCTTTCACCTAGACCTCCATGTTTTTTGCACACGCTATTCATCTAACTGGAATTGTTAGATGGAATAGGCAAACTCCTACGTAATCTTGCAAGAGTCACCCTCAACTTCATCTTCTCGATTCAGCCTTGAGCTGTCTTCCCGAGTGGTTTATTTTGTTCACACCTCTGCTCATAACAACATTGTGTTATATGTCTTGTCTTTCTCCACATTCCTTCCAGACTGAGCTCCTGGAATGCGGGGTCGATGGATGGCCTTTTCATCTTTATGGTCATCCCATCCAGAGCACTGCCTGGTACACGGTGGCCACGCCTGAGAATTTTAACGAATGAATAAATGAATGAATGAATGAATGAATGCCTCCCCAGCTGTCTAATTTAATATCTAGGAAGGGACTTGGGAACCAGAAGAACTTGACTCTCTCATTCACCCAGGCTAGGGGCCTGTTCTTTCTTTCCAGCTTTGAGGGATAGTAACTCAGTGCCTTTTAACTTTTTCTCTTCCTTCTAATCCCAGTCAAACTTGATAAGATATTCTCACTGATGTGCTGGTTTGTGCATAATCGTTCTCAGATCTCACTGGGAGGAGTGGGGACATACATATTCCAAAATTTACTCATGATTATGAGTCAAGAGTCTCGTGATTTTCACTATTAACATGGGAGCCAAATGTAATATAGAGGTCACAGATAAAGCTTCCCAAGGTTTTGAAGTCCATTTGAAGTTTAGGGCCTAGTTTCTAACATAATTGCTACTCTCAAAGGCTTCTCTTATGGAATTGAACAGCATGGTTTGCAAATATTAAGTGTAAAGAAAGGCCCCAATATCTGGAGCCACGTATTGCCTTAAAATAACTGTATTATGCACATTAAAACACATAGTTTTCCTTTCCAGTGTGATTGCTTTGTTTGATCAAATTGAAAGTTGGGTTTTCTATTTTGGCATTATGCCTCGTTTCCTTAGACAAAATGAAATTGCTCCATTATAGCAAATAGAAGCTTAATAATGGCTCAATTTGAGTTTTCATTGGAATGCTGATCTCAGGATATTTACCATTCCAGTCTTGTTCCTGAATAGCGTGTTTTCAAATAGAGACTCTGAGCTTGGTCTGGGTTACAATTTTTAGACATTTGAATGGTTGAAACCCCAGGAGAGAATTTCAAACCAAGGCTCTGTCTGAGGCAGAAAGGGTGCTGCTTTCCTGCTGTCAGCCAGCAAGGAATACCCAGCTCATTGCAGGTCCCCATAGAAACAAAACACAAGAAGAAATATGCCCCTGAGGTTCAATCTCAACTCCTTGTGGGAGGGCACGCATTTGGAGATTGGTAAGCAACTTGCACTTGGCACTGCTCCCTTCCTGTTTCTCGAGTGGACTGCACCAAGACATCAGGATCCCCTTTTCTTTTTTTCAGGCTTCCTCACAGCAATGAGGCAAGAAGTGACTCGTGCCCACAAAGGCTGGGCCCTGGACTCCGTGACCATCCACAACGAAGTTCTGCGGCAGACCAAGGAGGAGATTGCATCGCCCCCTGTGGTAGGTGCCACTGGGCTATAGCACGGGCAGTTCTGGAACCTGGGTTAAAAGCTCAAATTCTGCTTGACACTGACCTATGAGTGCCTCAGTTAAGTCCATTGGCTTTGTAGCTGGGGTTTCCTTGGTCCTCACCAAGAGACCTCAGTGCTGAAGTGGGAATTAATGACAAGCACTGGAACTCCTCAGAGAGCATGTCTTTATAATTTCAAGTTACACTTGTGTTTGCTAAAAACGGGTTTTCTACACGTCTCCGGCTCCTGCTGTGGGCTGCTTACAGACAGGACAAGGGTCGGGGGCGGTGGAGACCCAACAGTACCTGCAGTCCTAAGCTCTGGGGCCAGTTCCAGCAGTGCCCCCTGCTAGCTGGGGGACCCTGGGTGGAGGGACACCCGGAGGGGGGCAGAGCGGGGGGGCCCCAAGGTAAGCAGATGCCGTTGGGAGCCACTACTTGGACGCTGACCTGCTCTGTGAACTTGGGAAAGTTCCTTAACTTTTTGAGCCTCAACTTCCTCATCTGTGAAATAAGGATGATGATTCAACCTCATGAAAGATGGTTTTGAGAATCAACTGGAATCATTTAGGACTCCCTATAGGTACCTAATACATCAGCCTCATTTTCCCTTTCTCTGATTTTCATTCCCTCAGTTGTCAAGGAAAAGGACTGGGCCAAATGAATTCCAAGTTCTGGCCCTTTCTGCCACTTGAAGCAAGGGCCACTTACAGCAAGGCCACTTCCAGTGTCCAATATCCGGGTCCTCATTTCTGCCTGCCAGCCCACCAGAAGCACACTTAACCTCCACATTTCCACGAGCAACCTCTCCAGTCAAGGCAACCCTAGGCTATTTCAATCATGCCCCTCCAAAATTCTCCCTTTAGAATTATGCAGTTCCAAAGTCACTTCCACGTCTGAGGTATTTGTCAGGGCAGCACCCTGTTTCCTGGCACCAAGCTATGTACTCGTTTCCTACGGCAGCTGCCACCAAGTACCACAAACCAGGGGGCTTAAAACAGAATTTCTTTCCTCCGAGGTCAGGAGGCCAGAAGTCTGAGATCAAGGTATTGGCAGAGTTGGTTTCTTCTGAAGGCTCGGGGCGGGGCGGGAGGGGTGGGGAGAAGGAATCTGTTCCGTGTGTCTCTCTCAGCTTCCGATGGTTGCAGGTAGTCCTTGGTGTTCCTTGGCTTATAGCCTCCGCCTCCATTGTCACATGACCATCTTCTCTCTGCGTGTCTCTGTGTGTCCCCTCCTCTTCCCACAAGAACACCAGTCATATTGGGTTTAGAGCCCACTTTAATCCAATATGACCTTAGCTAATTCCATCTGCAAAGGCCCTATTTCCACATGGTCACATTCAGAGGTTCTAAGTGGACATGACTTTTCAGGGGGGACACTTTTCAGCCCGCTACACCTTCTAACTATGACTTTGTAGAGTTCTGAGATGAAAAGGAACCTAAAAGGGGTACAGTTTACTGTTGGATGCTACCTGAATAGTTGTGTCATTCATACAGTAATTGTCACCCACTGGCAATGATAGTAATCATATGTCCTGATTTTCTGGGATTGCTCCTGGTCTTACTGTCAAACCATGTACTTTAGGTTTGGGTTCAAAAAATACGGTCCTCATACTCTTAGCTCACATGAGAGGATTCCAGAAAACACTTTGCAATTAATCTCACTCTCTTTTATTATAATCTACATTTGCTTCCCCTTACCTGCTCCTCATTGGAAAGGAAAAACGGTCACCATCTTCTACATAGATATATCTTATGGGCTTACATGATTATCAGAGTCCCCCGTGATTCCCTCTAGCCTTTCTTTTCTTACTGAATACATGTTCTATGGCTCCCCATGGTCTACAAGGTAAAGTTCAAACTCTTCACTTCGGCCTTGAGACTTTTCCACGGTCAAGCCCCAACTTATTTTATAACCACTGAACCCTCTGCTAAATAAAATGCTTGGGCTTTCCTACCCATCCTACCTACCTTTGTACTATTTCTGCTGCCCGGACGCCTGCCCTCTGCCCTCTGTCTTCCCCCAAGCAGCCCATCCTTCAAAGCCGTCTCCTCCACAAAGACCCCTAAGCCCTCCAGCCCAGGGTAGCCTTTCACATAGTCTCAGTGCTGGTCACCAGGCAGCCCCTATAACAAGGGTGTGCTGGTATTCAATTCATGTCTTTCCCCCAGATTTAATGGTGAAGACCTCAAGGGCAGGGTTCCTTTGTGTGAAAGAGAAACAGGGAATGACTGCCACCCCTGCTGAACCAACGCACCCAGGCCCTATTATGCCCACGCTAACTCTACCACACCTGGCCTCTGGGGGCGCTCTGACTCACCCGCCCGCCAGGCCTGGCTGCACATTATCTCGCTCCCTCCTACCGCTGAGATGGTTAGAGCAGCAGGTTGGCTTGGCTGGCACAGGCTGAGATCCCTTGTGGCTCCCAGCTCCAAATCCCATTCCTTGTTCTGACCCTACACTGACTCAGACCAGATCTCTCCGAGACTTAGCTCCTTGTAGAGGTGATTTGGTTCTGCTGCCTAAGTCTGTTGTCCCCACTGGGCTACCCCTAGGCTCAAATAAGCAATAACAGGAACAGTTCTGCAGCCCTTATGGCCCCAAGATAGGCCACAGGGGAAAATTGGGCTCAGTATTTCACTAATACAATGTGCCTAGTGGTTGTTTTGTTCTTTCAGTGGCGTTTTAAGACTGGTGTATGTCTTCTTTCTAAACTGACGACCCTTATTAGAGTAATGGATGTCCATCTCACAGCACCTCATTTTTTTCAAAAATCCTATTTCCTTATGCTTGACTCTTCCAGGAAGGTGTATATATTTATGGGCTATATATGGATGGAGCCGCCTGGGACAGACGGAATGGGAAGCTTACAGAACCCGCCCCCAAGGTGCTCTTCACGCAGCTGCCTGTGCTGCACATCTTCGCCATTAATTCCACCGCACCCAAGGACCCCAAGCTGTATGTGTGCCCTATTTACAAGAAACCCAGGCGTACTGACTTGACCTTCATCACTGTGGTGTATTTGCGAACAGTTTTGTCCCCAGATCACTGGATCCTGAGAGGAGTGGCTCTTTTGTGTGACATCAAGTAAATTCATTTCCACTTGCTGAGGGCACCGTAGCCATGTAGCCAGCCAGTGCTAATGAGAGCCGCGGTGATGTGTGTCTTTTCTCCTGGGTAACTCCTGGATTACTCTTTTTAAATTAAAAAGTTGATATTCTACAATCACGTGTGTGTGTGTGTGTTCCCTCATGTCAATATTCAAAAAAAAAACCAGTTCTAAAGTAATGCAGGAAATCATATTCCATTATAATTATTTGTTTAGATAAAGTCCCATCTTCATGTTAGAACATTGGAAGGTTTGAATTTTTTAAAAATCTAAAACAAAGTATTAATTTCTTGTATTCTAAAAGAGGCCTAATAGATGCGAGCTTTTCTCTCAAATGAAAACCTCATTTCCCTGGAAGAAAATCTGCCCCTGTGTGTGTTTGTGCTAAGGTGCTGTCCTTTGCTTATTTGGGTCTGGCCTTGTCTCCGCTTATGAAATGGAAACTGGAGGGGTCCAGGCAGTCCCCCTTAGGAGTTACAGCTGGGTGGTGTGACGTGTTTGAGACAGCAAATCCACGGGGGTGGCTGCTCTTATCATTTGTTTTAATTTTATTTAATATTATTTTATTTTATATTTTTACATGCTTTTGAGGCCCAGAGAACTCTGAGTCTCCAGCTCCTACCGGCGCCCCCCTCCAACCCCAATTCTGCAGGAGATAATGAAGCGCACATTTCTAGGCAGCAAATGGGGAAGGAAAAACAAACTCCATCAAATGAAATTAGGTTACAGGCCGAATGCCTTAAAAAGCAAAGTCTTTAAAAAGTGAAGCTATTTCTTACCCTGTAGCTGGTCTGAAACTCAGTATGAACCTTTATTTCCTGCTAAAGAAAATTGTCAATTTAACAAAACAGATGGGGTCCCACATTGAATGTTCATGCAGCTTCAGGTTAGTGAAGTTTCTCTACTGGCCTTCCCATCTAGAATGCTCTTGCTCAACCTCAGCTAAATTCACCAACTTCATTCCCCCTGTCTATTCTGAAGGAAGGGTGCATTTCATGCTGCCTTGTCCCCCTCCCATCCTTCTGTCGCTCGGATCAGAGATGCCAACGGGAAACCAAACAAGATGGCCAAGCAATGGCCTGGGTGAGGTGTCCCAGGAAGACCCCAGAAAAAAATTCCCCCGTAGTCTAGGGTACTTCCAAATAGTAGAAAATATATTATGAAATGTACCTTGTAGTAGTGAACTCCGTTATGCTCCGAGACTGGTTCAATGTCAAAGCCATCAAACTCTCCAGGGCAGTTTAGGAAACTAAAGTAACCAAGCCCCCAGCCCACGTGTGTTTTGGTATTTCCCTTTGTCAAAAGGCACACTAAAGGATGGCATTCTCTGGAAAGGCTGTCGTCCTGAACTGAGGCTAGTATTTGGAAGCCCCTGCTGCTCTGGAGGAGCACAGAGGAAGTGAGGTACATTCTAGCACACCAAACTGCAGGCCCCAGAATAAAACACACGCATGTTATTCACATTCCTGTCCAGTTGCTAACACCATTGAAGGCGAACTGCATAGTCTGAACCCCTGGATATCATGGTAGGCTTTCAGAGAATAACAATTAGGTTCAGTGTTCTCTAATGACTTGAATATCTTATGGAAAATTGGAAGAACAGCAAAGATGTCAATCTAGCAAGGGTATAGATCGGACTGTATAAAGCCACAGACCATTTCCTGGGAACTTTTTCACTGGTTATTTTGTTCTGTGTCAGTGCAGAGGAGAGAGCAATGGGTGCTGAGGCCACCCCAGGGATGAGTCCTTGCTACCTAAGCAGTGTCTCAAAATGGCCTTCTTTCCGGGGGGTGCTTCTCAGCTATCCCCAGTTTTGCAGAGCTGGCTGGGACCCAGTTCTGCTTTCTTTCTCTGGGCCCATTAAATGGTTTCATCAGACATTTTGAGCCATTGAACATCCATAAACACATAACCATTTTCTCAGCAAAATTGTTGCTCTTTCACTAATTACATAATTTGCCACACTTGAGTGAAGAAGACCTGGTGAGCATAAAAGAGCAAAGGATCAGGGACAAGATGGTTAAACCAACCGAAGCTGGGAGGGAGGCAGAGTGATTTTTTTTTTTCTCCTTGGATCCAGTCCACATATTCTCATGTTGGTCTCGGCAAAATGAGCAATGAGATTTATACCTTTGTTGTTTTAAAATGTTATTTTAGTTTGCACTTTGCATAAAAATAAGACCAAAAAAGAAGTGTCTAAAGATATATCTTCCAAAAGGGATTGGTCTTGTGGGTGATGTTGCATGAACGAGCCTCACTCTTTTCAGAGACCTCAGATAAATGGGGAACTCCCCGGCAATATGAGTGTGACTTGGGGCCATGACGTATAAAAGAATGATTAAAGAAATTCAGGGGTGAGGGATGAAATTGAAGATAAGTGAACATTTCAGTTGGGTCTTGGTCTTTCCATAGATGGTACCAAAATGGTACCAAGACAGCAGATGATTGGGGCACCTGGGTGGCTCAGTTGTTAAGCGTCTGCCTTCGGTTCAGGTCATGATCCCAAGGTCCTGGGATCGAGCCCTGCATCGGGCTCCCTGCTCCGTGGGAAGCCTGCTTCTCCCTTTCCCACTCTTCCTGCTTGTGTTCCCACTCTCACTGTCTCTCTCTCTGTCAAATAAATAAATAAAATCTTAAAAAAAAAAAAAAAGCAGATGATTGTATTCTAAGGAAGGAAACAGCATGAGGGAGAGAATAGTATGCAGGTGGGAAGTCACAATGTTCAGAGCCAGAGGCCAAAGTATCCCTTCCTCAAGAGCTTCCAGTGAGTTTCCATCACCTGGAATGTACACTCCAAATACCAAAGCCCTCAATGAGCTGGCCTAAAATAAAATTTCTGCCTTGTGGCCCACTATCACTCAACTTGCTCAGTTAGGACTATTTGATGTTCCCTGAGCATTACACATACTTTCATCCTTCCATTGTTTCCTTATCAGGGAAACCTCTTCCATGTAGACCTGGAACCTTCCCACACTACTGGAGGCAATGTAAAATGGGGCAACCATTTTTGGAAAACAGCTAGACAGTCTCCTAAAAGTTAAACTTCTTGTACCTCAATAAGTATGGACTGGACCAGCTACCATATGACCCAGGAACTTCACTCTTGGATATTCACCCAAGGAAATAAAAGCATCATGCATACAAAGACTTACACATGAATGTTCCTAGGAGCTTTATTTGTAATGCCAGCCACTAGAAACAACTCAAGTGTCCCATCCATGCCTGAATGGATAAAAAAACTAGGGCATACTCATTGTATAGACTACTACTCAGCAACAAAAAGGAACACACTAGTGACACGTACTACAACATGGGTGAATCTCAAAATTACTTTGCTGAGTTAAAGGATCCAGGTGAAGAGAAGAGTGCATGATGTATGGTTGCACATATGTGTAGGTATATGCACATATATGTAAAACTCCAGAAAATGCAAATGAATCTGTTGTGACAGGGAGCAGATCAGCGGTTGCCTGGCAGGGCAGGAGAAGGGGGCAGGGGAAGGAGATTGCAACTCTGGGGACAGATGTGTTCACTCTCTTGGTTGTTGTGATGGTTTCACAAGTGTCAAAATGTACCAAATCGTACACTTTAAACATGTGTTTATTGTGCTTCAGTCATACCTGAATAAAGCTGTGATGAAAAGTTCTCCCTACGCAGCTTAATCCTTTCTGTGCCCTTGTGAGGACTTTCATGACCCCTCAACCCCCTCATCCCTCCACCAGGTGGGATCTGTTGCACCTTCTGCAGCAGTTTGGTGGCAACCGAATTTGGCAATTTTTATTTTAGGAATTAATAATGTGTGCCTGTCTCCCCAGTCTCTACCAAGCTTCTGGAAAGCAGAGTCTGGCTTTTTGGCACCCCGTTAAGGGTTGACTAAGTGAAAGAATGAGTGGACAATAAGTAACCCAGTTTGACTGGTAAATGTAGGCAAAGGATGGGGGAGGAGGAAATGTCAAGTGGGGCCGTGCTGGGAATGTCGTGGAAGGATTGTGGGACCACCAATGATTCTGGGGACTGCTGAAGGAATGGAAGGGAGAAGGTCAGAGAGGAGGCTATTGCTCTAGACCAACCAATGTGAAATGAGGGAACTAGAGAGAGGCTAATTCAAACAGAAGTAAAGCAAGTCATTTGAAAGACGGTGTGGAGGCAAAATTTGGGGATTCAGAAACCCAAGTTGATGAGATGAATAATAAGCAAAAGGATAATAGATAAAACCGCTTATAGCCTGTAGAGTCTAGTTGGATGTTTCTTCTGCCACTGCAATTTGGGGGAAAAGAGCTGTTGCTGTTTTTTTTTTTTCTTTTTTTTAAAAAAGATTTTATTTATTTATATGAGAGAGAGAGCATGAGCAGGGGTTGGGGCAGTGGGGAGAGGGAGAAGCAGACTCCCCATTGAGCGAGGAGCCCAATGTGAGACTCGATCCCAGGACCCTGAGATCATGACCTGAGCCAAAGTCAGACGCTTAACGACTGAGCCACCCAGGTGCCCCAAGAGCTATTTTCTTAGCCACATGCTTATAAATAACTGCCAGGGTCTCCGAAGAAAGACTCAAGCTCTGTGTGCTCACCATTGCTCATGGTGAGGTCATAACATAGTATTACCATGTGCCAGGCACTGGTCTAAGCACTTGACTTGAATTACACTGAAGTAATCCTCATTCCAACCCCATGAGGTCAGTATTGACATTATCTCCATTTCACAATTGAGGAAATGGAGGCACAGAGAAGCTGAAAACCCTGCCTCATTTCTTGCAGCTAGTAAGCGACAAAGCTGGGATTTGAACCCAGGTTGAATGGTTCCAGCTTATGCTCTGATGAACTGTGCAAGACAGTATTGGATTTTTTTTAAAAGCCAGAGACTAATGGCATAAACCTCTAAATTTCGTAATTCTACACAGAAAATAGTGCATCTATGTTTCTGTGACTTGTTAATTTGAGCAGCTTTCTTTATCTGGTTGGAAAGGATAATGTGCATAGAGGAGAGGTATCAGGCAAATATCAGCATTTATATGGTGTGCAAACAAATGTGCATTTAAAATTCAGGAATTTTGAAGGGAATTAGTAGGTTCATTTAACATGCTCTTTCTGGGTTTTCTTGAACATTCCAGACAGGCAGGTGCATTGTTAACTGGAAGGTGCTGGAGAAATTTGCTCTGGACTCCCAAGTGAGAAGACAAGAGGTCTAGAACGGGATGTGGGCTCTCTGCCGGGCGGCTTCCTTGTCCACATACAAAAGAAGAAAAAGTAAGATGTTATTCTAAAGAACACAATTCAGCCAAGGGTAAAAGAAAGCAAAAGTGTGAAAAGTAATTCACTGTCCTAAATGAAAAAAAAAAAAAAATCAAGGAACTATGGGGATTCTTTCCATTTAAAA